ATAATATTAATATTTACATAAGTGTTTTCTGTTCTTCTATTTAATTATTAATACTTATTTTTCGCCGTAAAAAATGTGAATAAGGTACTACATAATATTTTTTTTGTATTTATTTTATTTAAATATTAACTTTTTTACTTTTGAAAAATCAATTAATGACAATATCACTTTCAATTTTTATAACTAACATTTTACAAGCTTTATAATTGTCCACGTTTGCATATGATAGAAATCAGTTTTTGATTAACTTAAGGGTGAAATAGGTAGATATTTAATGCAGTTTTTATTTCGCGTCACGTACAGTCAATAAACTTACGATTAGATGATTAATATTTGGAAGATTAAGAAAATTCCATTCGTGACATGTAATTTGACATTTAAGTGATAAATCCACTTTTTTTAACTAACCCATTTCATCATTCATATGTACCATTCTTTTTTTTTTATTTCATTTCAAAACCATTTTTGAGTTAGTAATGTTTCGTAAATTTTTGAGGATAATTCAAACAAAATCGGGGAAGACAAATTATGTTAAAAGTGGATGGTTAAAATTAGCTGTACCTTGCTGGGTGTGGAAAAATCCATTTAATCCTTTTTACGACGATGGAAATGATAAAAAGATGCTTTATTGGTCCCTCCGTACAGTTGACGATACAATCAGAGAAGCCGACAAACTTTTTGAGACGGGAGATTACCTAGAAGTGTATCAATTATTAAATAGAATAAAATTTCGGGAAAACGTGGATGTTCTTTGGAGAGTGAGTCGTTCTTTATATAAAATGGCACAGGATGAGACCAATTCGAATAATATAAAAAGAGAAATGATCGACGAGGCCTACGAAATAATTACATCAACTTTATCTAGGGGAGCAAACAATCCGAACGTTCACAAATGGATGGCTCTCATCGTTAATTTTAAAACAAATCTGGAAGGAACTACATCGAAAGCAAAAAATTTGGGTGTCATTAAGAAACACATGAAAAAAGCAGTTGAACTAAACCCTTATGATGTATTTGTTTTACACATGCTGGGACAACTTTGTTATAATCTTAGCAATTTAAATCGCTTCGAAAGGTTTCTTGCTTCATATCTGTTTGAAAATCCCCCACCCTCGAGTTATGAAGAAGCATACGAATATCTTTCAAAAGCGGAAAGTATTCGACCCGGATTTTATATACCAAATTTGTATTTATTAGGGAAAACGTGCTATCGCATGCAGAAATATTTCCGAGCTAATTATTACCTAAAAATGGCTACAAGTTTACCACCAAGAAGCTCCTATGAGGTTCAATGTGCCAAACGTGCTAAAACATTAGTACAAAACTTATCTGAATTTGATATTTCTAGAGACGCTCTAGTTACTGACATATAAAGTACAAACTTGATTTCTGTTTATTATTTATTTATTAACAGTTTGACTTTTATATTAAATTAGAAAACAATTTTCGTTTCTTTTTTAATTTTTCTTAAGTTTTAAAACATTTTATGGTTATAATTTCTTTCTGGACTAATTAGCAACATAGTAATTAATTTAATAAAAATTACTTTGCTTCTACGTATTTGCATAACTCATAAATATTTACGGGTGTATAAAACGTTCAACGGTTAGGTAGACACAGCCGAAAGTTAAAATTGATGAACGAAAAATGAAGAAGAAGATAACTAAAACTATTTGCTTATGTTTTAAGCAGTTTTAAGGTTATCGAGTAATACATAAACGTGTATTTTAGTGTTTTTATTAATTTTAAAATTTGAAATAATGACAACGGTGAGTATTCTCAGAATTCCACCATATAACATAACCGTTACTTTTTTTAATTATCTTTAGAAGACTAAAATTTCAAAAGAAAAACGTAAGAATCAAAAACGAAATAAGGCACTTAAGCAAGNATTATAACTGACTAATAATCGTAAGGATTTTAAAAGAAAACAATTTTATAATTTGTTGCGTAGGTATAGTTTCAATAATAACTGATAAAGACAGCTGTAATTTATCCTGCTGCTAACTATATAAAAAAATCATCGAGAGTATGTAATTTTAATAGATTTATCCTCACTGCAATATTTGTGTACGGATTAGTTGCAAAAGTGACCTTAAAGTACTAAAACAACTCAAATTTTACCATGCTTTGTGGCTCTTGTGAATTGGGAAATGTGTTTTAAATTTTTTTGAAATAGTGTCTTGCTTTGGAAAAACTTGCAAATAAACATACTGTACAGGGTGAGACGTGTCGGGAAGTCTAATAATGTTTTTTATCTGGTATTGGTATTCTCCATTGCGACAGAAACAATGAAAATCTGAAAATAATTCATTTTCAGATAACAAATTTCTTCTCCGATTTCTTCGAACTAAAAAATTTAGTGTTCCACTTGCTTGCGAAATGTTAGAACGTTATTTGATAATAAGACAGCTTTATCCGGACTGGTTTAAAAACTTAGACTACGAAGATAAAGACTTAAAAGAAATAATAGATAATGGATACATTGTTCCCTTGGTCGATAGAATCGATGGAAAGCTGGTCATTTTTAGTGCAGCTGATAAATTCGACCCCTATAAGTATACAGCGGCGCATATGATCAGGGTGCATAGTTTAGTTAGCGAGGCACTTATGGATGATGAACTTAATCAAATTTACGGATACGTTTATATTAATGACGTAGCTGGATTCCAAATGGGACACATTTCTTTATGGTCTTTGAAGGATGTTAGAAATATCTTCCATTGCGTTCAGGTCAGTAGAAAAAGCTTTGCGGAGAGTGGATTCAATGAAATTTAATTAGTTCTACTGTTAAATAGATTTTGGTGGAAAGCAAGGGGTCGAGGGTAAATCTAGGTAGTTTGGAATTTTCACAGTAATTTACAAAAAATATTGTATAATAGTAACTATCCATGTAATCATACGTAAACTATTCCAAATTGAATGATGCTTTTCACATTTCTTCTTCTGCAAAGCTTTAAATCGTACAAAAATTAAAATCATCGAGAAATCTATGGTTAAAATTGTACGTTACCAAATTCCTTGATAAATGTTTTCGAAAAAATTAAAAATAAAACAGTTATAGGATTTTGAAACTTTTACCTGAAAAGCATTAATTTCTTGCGACTTGTATTAAACAGACATTTTTACTTTTTATTCACAAAAATTCTGTAGAATTCGATTTCTTACCAAAAAGAACAAGACTAGAATCACGTATCTGAAGCGCAGGACTGTCCTTTTCTATCTCCATTTGCAGCACAACAATCTGCAGCGGAATATTCTTAAATAATTTTATTATTTTACAGAATTCCTCCCCTATGAGACATAAAGCTAATCATTTTATAAACATGTCACCTGCCGCCGCTAAACTTATAGAATTTGGATTAACTTTTCTAAATGATAAATTAAGAAATAGAACTTTTGTAAGTATCTTTATAAAGTAATGTTTTTTTTTTAATTTGTGATTTATCAATATGCCGTACCTTTAAAGTATGACAAAGTGAAGTGGTGTACTTTCATTTTCTACGATAACTTTTAATTTGTGTGGTACATTTGTCTCACGGTGAGGGTTATATTACGAATAAAAATTTTAGATAAATCCGTCTTTAGACGCCTTACATGAGAAAATCGACCCGAAAATTCTTCCTAAAGAATATGGTGGTGTAGTTCCTTTGAGCGAACTCACGGAAAAATTGAAAACCTTACTAAAAGAAAGGCGAGAACAAGTGTTATCGTTAGACGACATGTATATTGAAATAGATGAAAGAGAATGCAAACTGGTATCGGAGATGAACGAAGAGTTAGGGGTGGGTTTGGAAGGAAGTTTTAAGAAGCTTACCGTTGATTAATCATATCTAGTCCATTTCTTTTGATTTTCATTATATTATGTGACCTCGAACTCGAATACTAATAATAGATACTAAAAAGAATAAAAATCCATGATAATCATCACTTGATCTGAATTATTAAACCACTGCTGAACTTTTTGATTTATTAACTACGATTTTTATGATTTCGTTTACTTTGCATGATGTCTATCTAACACTATCTACACTTTATTTCCTAGAAATATTTGACTGTTACCAAATTGAAAATTTATTATTTATTTCTTTTTTCATTTTATTTCTGTCTCCTTTACTTATCACTGAATATAACTTGATTTCGATATTCTGTGACACTTTTTTCTAAATTTCTTTATCTTACTTTGTTTCGTACTTTCCGGATCGAAAGAGTAATCGGGTCTTTGCAATCAAATTTTAAGTCCCGGACCATTCCCGAAAATGGTCCCGAAATGGAAATATGTAATATTTCTTCTACAAAAAATTTTTATTAAAAAAGATAACGCTTTATGGAAACCAAGTATTTTTACGTGATAGTAATAGTAATTACATTCATTATCAAAAAAATATGAAATGTTAAACAATAAGACCTAATGCCGACAAATTCTTTCGGGACTATTTATGGAACCCATTTTTGGACAAAATCCAGGGACAATTTCGAGATCAAATACCGCAACTGGAAACCTTATTTTTTACTCCGTAACTTTCAATTTATTTTGTGGTGATATGAATAATATTGATGATACTATTGTGATAATTTTATAGTTGAAACTTTTTCTCTCTTTCTTGTACTTCTATTCTGTCATCTCTCACAACTTTTCGTCGATATAGTTTTTTGTAATAGCATTATTTTTTAAGATATATATTGAAAAATAGGCATTTGTTGGTGCGGAAGTAGATATGTATAAAACACGTCGATATGTAATAATAATAAAGTTAATGCTAAATATTAAGAACTTAAACGTACCTTCTTTCTTAAAAAAATTACAATATGCAAAAAATATTGTATGATGGTAAATTA